GGCGTTTCCCTGGCAGGAAAGACAGGTAGCAGTCGGAGGGGAGAGCACAGAGGTGGGAAACAGCAGAGTGTGTGTGTGTGTGTGTGTGTGTGTGTGTGTGAGAGAGAGAGAGAGAGAGAGAGATGGTGAGAAGCAGCAAACCGTCCTGCCTTGGTGGGCACAGCGGGCTGCCCGGGATTGGCAGAAGCTGATGAGACGGAGGGAGGTACGCAGGGGTCCTTCAGGGAGGGTCTCGGGTAGCCTACAAAGGTTTGTTTTTGTTTTGTTTTGTTTGTTTGTTTTATGGCATATAGCTTAGGGGTGATGGATTTCAAAAACAACTATTATTTGTTTTGCCTTTGCTCAAAGGACACCTCCAAGGACCAAAATATGAAACATAGCGATGGAGTCCCTTGGGCTGAGGCAGTGCCAGGACCCAGAGCCTGTCCTTCGGGCCCCCCCACCCAGCCGGGCCCCTGGGCATCTGCCTGGAGCTCTAGGAATGCCGAGGAGCCGAGTTTGAACTACTCTGCTAGAGAATGTCAGGGCTGGGGAGTGAGAAGTATTGAGTGATAGGTAATTGTTTACTGTAGTTGTCCAGAAGGCATCTGTGAAGGTTTGAATGCTCTCATTTATTAAATATTAACCGAGCCCCTACACCAACTAGCATGCTGAGTGCTGGGGATACATCAGTGAATGAACTAGAACAGCCCTCATTTATGTTCTAATGGAGGAGATGGAATAAACAAATACACGGAACAGGTGTGTAATAGGGCTCAGAAGTGTCCATAGGGTCACATAGGACCTGGTGGGCCACACTTGGAACCTGGGGTTTTATTTTGAGTGAGATGGAAAGTCGGGAAGGTTTTGAACAAAGAGGAGACAAGATCAGCTACCCACTCTGGGCGAGAGTAGCTTGGGGTCTGGGTAGCTGGCCCGTATCAGATGGTCACTAAATGGTGGTTGTGTGTGTTGTTACCCATCATCCCTTCTGTAGGGGTGCTGGTCTGGTGGGAGGGGCTGGTGAGAATGATCCTGGCCAGGGGAGCGGGGTCCTCGGAGACATGTTCCCTTCATGTGACAAAGGTGTGTCCAGTAACCATAGTGATGATGTCACTGTCCACCTGGCTGGAAGACTCGCCCAGCTCCTCGTGATGCCGAATGGCCCCACTTGGGTCCTGGCCGGTGGCCGGTTGCCCCGCCCCACGCTCAGTGACATCTCCGTTGTCCTCTCTCGCCCGCTGGGTAGTCATAAGGGAGCTTGCTGGATAAACAGGGTGTTTGTCCCTTGCTGTCGCCCCGCAGTGTTCGAGAACAAAGACAAGATTGTGATCATCATGGAGTATGCGAGCAAAGGCGAGCTGTATGACTACATCAGCGAGCGGAGGCGCCTCAGCGAGAGGGAGACCAGACACTTCTTCCGGCAGATCGTCTCCGCCGTCCACTATTGTCACAAGGTACTGGCCCGGCCCGAGAGTGGCCGCAGATGGTTTTCATGGCATCACGTGATCTTGTTGTCACATGACAAGGGCGACGTCTGTTCATTGTAGAACTTACAGAGAATGTATAAAATGGAAAGGAGAACATTACTGCCACCCATAATTCCAGAATCTAGTGATAACCTACTATTGACGTTTTTATTTCTTTCCCGTCTCCTTCCTCCTACCCTTACCATTTGTTTTTTGTTTAAACTTCGTATCTTGCATAATTTTAGATTTGTAGCAGTTTCCCAGATAGTCAGGAGAGTTCCCACGTACCCCTCACTCAGCTGACGCAATGACCGCATCTCAGCAGAGTCAGTTGCCAGAGTACGAGTGCACCAACTCTCGTACGTTGTCTGTCGTTAACAAACCTCCGGATTTCATTGGGATTTCACCAGTCTCCCACCGATGGCCTGTCTGTGCTCCAGGAGCAACACGTTGCATGCTTTTTACATAGTTCGTGTCCTGCTGTTTAACTTAGTATATAATCTACACATTTTCCTATGTTACTACAAATTTTCATGCAGTTGTGATGGTTGGGCCTTCAGGCTGGTTTTAACTTCTGGTAACCTTCTCCTCTCATTTGAATAACTTACTTAAGAGAAATTCTAGACATGCAACTACTGGGTCATAGCTTCCGAACCTTTCTGTGCTCTTGGTACCATTTGTTGCACGGATCATATCCACTGGGGTTACCTACTGGAGCCTCAGTTCTTGAACTTAATTCGTTCCGGAATACTGTTCGAGAAGCGATTTGTTTGAAAACCAAATCTCCTCTGTTTGTCACTGGAGAGATGCGGGGCCGATCACCCAGGTATCAGCATGAAAGGGCTGTCAGGTAGGGAATCGGGACCCCAAGTTTTGTTAGACAACGGAGACCTTTCTCCTGTGAACCACTTGGTCGAGAACCAACGTGTTCAGGAGCCAGGATGGTCGAGAACTGAGGTTGGGTTGTGTGTGCTCAGGTACTTTCTGTTGCCACACATGCTGGTAAATTCTGATGCTGGTAACACAGCCATAGTGCAGCCACCCGTGGCCTCTGGAGAAGGAAATGAAGTACCCAGACCATTCCAAGCCACAGGTCAGCCATTACTGTCATTAATCTTCTTGTTGATCCCTTCCCCCAGAATGGTCACACCTTGAACATTCACTTTGAGTGCAACAGTGATTGAATCCAACATGGCACCTGAGACCCAGTCGGCGTCCTCAGACAAATGGCTGTGTTCTGGGGTCTTCTGGTGTGTCAAGCGTTCTGGTGAATTGCTAGTGGCTCTGGGAATAATTAGAAAACGATTATTCGGGTCTAAAACCCATAACCCCCGTGAACATTATTTGACTTCTCCTTGCCAGCTCAAGACTGTGATGATTCAGATCATATGACATTTTGTGTTTTATCATCAGGCACCATCAGAAATTACTGCAGACCGTATTTTTGTTATTTGATGTGTCTGAATACTTGGGTTCCCGGTATATGGGACTTTATTAGACTCATTCCATCTTACTGTGAAAAACCAGGAATGCAACAGTGTAAACCGAACTACCCCCAACATTTCAAACAAAGCAGAATCAGGTACCTGGTGTTTTCCTCCAGGAGCCTGGGTTTGTGCACTTCTGAGTTCAGAACACATCCTCGAAGGTTTGGATTAGAAGAGTCGCAGAAATGCACGTTTTTTCCATCTCTCCCGTCCGTGCTTTTGGAGATGTTAGGAACTGTCCAATGGGAAGGAAAAGGATAAAGAACTGACTGTAAACAGGCAGATTCGGAACTAAGGAAATCTTGACTGAAAGATAAAGACTTTCCAGCCAGTTCATTTGCTTAAAAGAGCAGCTTCGACTGTAAATGTCCTTTGTGCTGAATGATGTTAAAAACGTCCTCCCTGGTATTTATCTGCCCGGCCCAAAATAGTTGGTTCTTTCAGTTCCACGCCTCTTCCCATGCTCACCCGCCCCCGTATGAGACCATTAGGTTTTCACGGAGAGCTAAGCACACCAGTTGTTACTGCTGGATAAGCCAACAACAGCCTACTGGCTGATGACTCCTCTTCTCCTTTCAGCTGGCGGTCTGCTTGTCACTGCAGCTCAGCTGCCAGCCTTGCCAGAGTTGGCCCGAATGCAAAGGTCACCCAGCGTGGCAGTGACATGCTTTGGTCAGCCCGGTGGCTACGGTCTCACCAGCCTCACCGACCTTCACCCTTCACTTATGCTGAGTGCCGCTGAGCAGACAGGGACTTTTAAAATCTTCCTGCCTGGCTGCTTAGGAAATACCCATGCAAGCACCTTTGTTACCCTCAGAACAGATCTGGATTGGTTCCATGGGTCAGAATAGATTGGGTCAGGCTTCTTTCCAGCGTTGAGGAGGCAGGCAGGCAGACGTACAGACGGATAGACAGACAACCAAGGGCCGTGGGCCCTGCATGCTGAGTCTCCAGCCACGAAATCTGCGTCTTGCCTGGGAATCCCATCACAGACAGACACTGTGTGCCACCGCCTGGGACTAGATTGCTTTCACACAGTGCAATGACATTCCGACAAAGGATCCCCCTGCTGTTTTACAGGCTCTGGGGGAGAATGGATTCCAGTCATTTTTCCCTTAACCACACAGCGAGTGACTAATGCTCTTCGGTCCCTGGTCCCTGGCGGGAGCTTCATGACAGGGAGAGCAGCCCTGAAGGATGGAGGCAGAGACCACCGGGCTGGTGCATTTCTTTCATCTGTCAGATGCTTCCCAGTGCTCTGCCTCCGCCTTCCTCCTCCTCCTCCTCCTCCTCCTCCTCCTCCTCCTCTCTCTCATCCCATCCGCTCCCATTCAGTTCCCTGCCTGTCTTCTCGTTGCAGAATGGTGTGGTCCACCGGGACTTGAAGCTGGAAAATATACTGCTGGATGACAACTGCAATATTAAGGTAAACCTCTCCCCTCAGTGGTGGAGATGCAGGGCCTGGGGATGGCATCCGGTGGGGGCCGGTGCTGCTCCAGACTACAGCCTAGACATAAGGTGGCTGTTTCCTTCCCTGGCAGGAGGGTAGGGAGAGTCACTGGGCTCGAGTCCTCGGTTGAAACCATTAAATTCAGTAAGCACTTACTCGTGTTTAACTACAGGCCATTCTTCATGCTGGCGTAATCAGACAACTAAAATACAGTCCTTGTCCTCAGCAAGTTCATGGTCTACAATCATTGCCATAAAAATAACACTTATAACAATAACACTTTGCCTACATATTTCAAATCGTATTTGTCTGATAGCGTTTAAATTTGATGAGACAGGGACTCTTATTTACATCATCATTTCACAGGCAGGGAAATGGTGGCACAGAGAAGTTAAGTAACTTACCCAAGGTAACACAGTGGTAGGTAGTGGAGCTGGGGTTTGAACCCATGTCTGTCTGACTCACGAACTCAAGTTTGAACTGCTATGCTCAATTTGCCAGCAGGGCCCCACGTGAGTTTAGAGCTGGGACTCTTTCCCTGCCACTCTGTCACTCCCAACCCATGTCTCCTACTTCCTCCGCCCAACCCTCCCACCCCCGGAACCTGCCCTGGGACTGGGCAGCTGATTGAAGTGATGGTGGTGTTCGCTGTTGGGGAAGAGCGTCCCGTCACGTGATGGAGTTGACTTTTATGGAGAGTATTATTGCTGGCTGCTGCTGGAGCTGGAGAAAGCTCTCCTGGCCAGTAGGGTTCAAGGGCCTCCCGCAGAGCGCTCCGAACATCCTTTTGATCACATCTGCAAAATAAGCAAATATGGTTTCAAGATAAATGGAGTGCGCTGCATGGGTTTCATTATGAAATGGCCTTAGTACTCCCGGCACCGAGGGGATCCATCTAATTAGCCGCTGGTGACGTGAGTGCCTCGTCCCCAGTCCCCAGACAAAGCCTGGGAATGACCTTGTATCTTCCTCTTTTGTGGTTGCTGTTGCTGCTCTGAGTTGAGAGGGGTGCATCACGGGGAAACCGTTTCCTTGCTTGGAAGGAAATGTGCTGCTTTGGCATTTGGATTTCGGATCATGGTGACGTCGCTAGTCACCATCATCCTTGCAGAGGCCCCTGGAAGCCATGCCTGGTGACGTCTTGTTCTTGCAGGTGGTTGACCGTGGTCATCTATTTCTGTGTAGTCCTTAGAATAAGGAGGGGACAGCTGGTCAAAGCAGTTTCCTCTAGGAACAGGAAGTGAAATCTCAGGGTTCCTCCAATTCTGGCGAAGTGGCTGGGGTATTCGGGGAGACTAGATGCAGAGTTAGAAAATTCTACCCTTGACATTGGGAAATCCACCCTACCCCATTCCTGGACTATAAAATGGGCTGACGGTAATGCCCACAGGCTTGTGTTGAGGAGTAAATCAGATGCCCTGTGTTTAGTTTATAAACTGCTGAGCATTGTGCAGTGAGTCAAGGTTAAGAGCAGTGACTTTGACGTTGTATAGCCTGCATTGAATCGCAGCCCTGTTTGTTACTAATTTTGGATGAACTCATTGCTTGTCTAAGCCCCAGTGTCCTCATTTGTTCGTAGGGATGCCAGCCCCCATTTCTCATGATGGTTGTGGATTTGTTCATTGTTTCAAGGAGTACGTACCTCCCGGGCAGTCCCTGTGTGCCATGCTCTGTGCCCAGTCCCGGGGAGTCAATGACAAATCAGAGGAATCCAGACACTTTATAATCACAGCACTTACCGCTTAGCTCGTATTGTCCAAGGAACCTGCTTCAATGGCTGGCCGCCGGAGAGGAAATTGAAGGGACCTGGTGGTCAGGCCGTGGCTAGAGAATTGGGTTGTGGTTGGAGGGACACATTCTGAGGGCTTGTGTCATTCACCCTGGTAACTTTGCAGATTCTTCCCTCCACCTGCCCCCAGAGCTCTCAGAGCTAAATGTAGCCTTTACAAGGCCTGGAATGTGAGCCTGTTGCTTGGGGATTGGTTTCTGTAGTGGTGTGACCTCTCGCTCCCATGATGTAGTTCCAGAAGTGATAAGGCACATAGCTTCCTAGGGAGTCATAGAATTGCCCAGTGGAGAAGAATGGTTACAGTGCTGAAGCAATTGTGCTGGGAACAATAGGCAGCAGCCCGGGAGAATGGCTCGCTGGCATAAGCAATAGAGCCATGATGTTGGGGGACCTGCCGGCCCCTCAAGGCCAAGTGCTTCCATCCAGATCCCTGTCCATTTGGTAGGGAAACAGCAGACAAATAGCTCATTGCAGAAGTTAAGGTTTTGGTCGTACCTTTTTTCTTTAGGATTCTTAATCCTGAAGATTTTTTACTTTTGGCATTTATCAAGGAAAAACACACACACATCCCAAACGGAAACCAGACCTTGCCTTCCTCAGGCGGTGATCCTGCCAATGCTGCTAGGATTTGAGAATCCTACAGCTTGAAGGGACCTCCAGGGTCATTTCCCAGCCCCTTGTTTTCATCCAGAAAGTCTAAGTGGTGTGCCCAGGATCACACAGAGTGAATCAGTCTCTAGGCTAAATCACTGTGTCTTTGTCTCCCTGGCCTGTGACACGGTGCTCGTCCCACAGTAGGTGCTCTTGAGGCTGTGTGATTCGGAGGGAAGGGATGACAGCCGGGATTAGAACTCCCGTGTTTGACTTCCAGACAACTTCTCTTTTCATCATCTCACACCCACTTCCAAAGTTTTTAAAGATGTGTTTCAGCTGGTGTTGATGTGTCTTCTGGCTGGATGTGCTCAGCTCTTCCCGAGTCAGCATTTTGCTGAAAGGGCCCTTGTGACCAGGGCAGGCAGGCACAGACACAGGGCCACAAGCTGGCCACCAGGTTGGAGAGAACCCGTGTCATCAGTGTCTGGACCGGGGGGACCGCTGACACTGATGACCTATTACCAACCAATGGGATGCGAACAGTGAGGTGCCTCTTGGAGCCCCCTCTTGTGTCTTTAAATGTGGGTGCATCTTCCATAGTCCAAGGGTGGAGGGCTTTGGCCCGGGAGCCCTAACAAAATGCTACTGGTTTAAGCTTGTCACACGTCCCCGCAGTTGGTAAGAGCCATGCAGCTGTTTCTGTCCCCTTCCCTGCCTGATGCTGATTTGCAAAGAGCACATCTGGCATTAGGAGTTACTTATCTGGCCACTGCAAGAGGGTGTGGCTTCTAAAAATATTCACACAGTCAGTCAGCAGAAAGAATGAGAGCAATGTACTTCCTTGGGCCGCATTCCGTACTCGGCGGCGAAGCATGTCTACCAAAATAGACACCCAGTACAGCGTTAATTTGCAATCAATAAAGACGGGCCAGATTCACATCCCATTCTCTGGGAGAATGGAATGCCGACGATTCCCATAGGAGGCTCCTGTAAAAAAATGCCATACAATGAGAAGAGGTCCAGGCCCCGGGGTCAGCTGACCTCCTCAAAGACGGCTGAGAGTTCGATGAGCTCCCGGGACTCAGGGTGGAGGGCCACGGGGGAAATGGCCTGTCGCCCCCGGTGACAATGGAAGCTCAGCTGCTGCGGATGAGAAAAGAAGCTATGAATGGCTGGGGCGCAGGCGAGATAGACGCCTCTGAAGCTTAACAAGACCGAGTGAGACAGCTCAGGAGCGGCCCTCTGGGCTTGGAGTGGACGAATGTGAGAACGTGCATTCATGCGTGACCTAATCCATTCATTTGTTCGTCTGTCCATTTCTGTGCGTGTGTACGTAGATATCCATGCATGCTTGCATTCACTCATCCCTTCCTGCCCTTATTCCCTCAGCAAATCGAGTCTCTTCTCTGGACAATATTTATTCAACCACAAATGTTTACTAAGTTCCTACTGGGTACCGGGCCTTGTGCTGGGTGCAGGGAATTTAAGAGTGAACCCGAGAGCCGGGCCCCTGTCTTCCTGGAACTCGGAATCTAGCACTTGTTAAACCCCCAGCCATCAGGGGTCATGAGAGGGATACAGAGGTGAATGAGGACAATAAGGTACCTGCCCTAACGGACTTAGAATTTCAGTTCAGGACACACGCAGTACACAGAGAAGTATATGATGTGACTGTCTGGCAGCGAAGGAAGTCCGTGCAGGGCTACATTAGCGAGCAGGAGGTACTATTTACCTCGTGGTCGGAGCAGGCCTGTCTGTGGGACTGGAGCTCCTCAAATCCTCCGTGCTTTCTCTGGGTTTTTTGGCCTTTGCCCACGTGGTTCCCTTCGCTTAGAATGCTTTTTGGCTGTCTGTCCTTTGAGTCTCAGCTAGAATGTGTCTTCCTCCAGGAAGCCTTCTCTGGTCCTTGTCCCTTCCTTGGCAGGGACAGAGCACCCCTGCTCTGTGCCTCCTGGTGCCTTGTGTAGTGTGCTGGGGAAGTCTGAGCAGAAGTGGTGGGTCTGTTAAGCTGGATGGGCCAGAGAGCCGTGGCTGAGGAAGTGTTGCTGGAACTGGGATTCGAAGGATAGGTAGGAGTTCAACAGAAAGGGGTGTGATGGGTTTTTTAAGGGGAAGGGAAAGCAAGCGCAGGAACAGGGCAAGGAGGCCAGAAACGAAAGCAACCTTTATCGAGCCCTTGCTAGAAGCCCAGAGCCAGGCCTCCCACACGCCTGTTTCCATTTGATTCTTAGACTGTCTCCCCGGGGTGGGTCTGATTACTCCCATTCTGTGCATGAGGAGGCTCCCGCAGCTACTGAGTGATGGGGGTGTCTGCACAGCCAAGGCTCTTGGACTCCATCGACCCGGCGTCTGACAAATCCTACCCTTCACTCCTCCCACCCAGCTTTGCCCTGACTCCGAGGAAGCATCCCATGAGGACACCTTTTGGTCCTTGCTTCACTTGGCCTCACCTTGTCTGTAGCAGCTGGTGTCCAGCTGTCCCTGGGAGAGACTCTCCAAGCACAGGGATGCCAGGGTCCCATGTGTTGTGAGCTGGGGCCGGTTGCTCCTTAGCCTCCCAAGAGCCTGCTTCTCAGGGGTGCCCTCAGCGAAGAGCTTCCCCAGATTGCGTGGCGTTGGTCATTTCCGGTCTCTCTCGGGAGGCGGTGTGAGCTTGGGTCTTTGGAAGATGAAAGCCGACCCCGTTCCCTTCTGCTCACCCCATTCCACCCGCTGCCTTCACTTCCTGGCTAGTCAGGAGCGAAGCTGTCATGGGTAAAGTCACAGCCATTAATTCCAAGGCCGGAAAGGAGCTATGGAGTGTGTCTTCCTCGACAGGGTTGCTGTCTTCCTGAAGAGTTCTGCAGAAAGCTGTTTCCTCCTGGGCCACCTGAGAGCAATAACTCTCCTTTATGGGGAGCTCTACAGCCAGGACAGCTCTTCCTCCACATCTCCGGCCAGGCATGTCTCCATGCTGGGCCTCAGTTTCCCCACTTACAAAATGGGGATAATGGTGGTACCCTCCTCCTCATAGGGTTGTTGTGAGGATTTAATACATTAATGTATGTGGTGCCCACAGAATGGCACCCGGCCTGTAGCGATGCTGCTATTGTTATTATTTTTTGTTGTTATCATTATCTCATTGAATCTGATTTGGGTTTCACCACATCCTGTGGTTGCTGCTATTGCACTGCGTTTTCCAGCCAAGGAAACCAAGACTCGGAGACATGAAAGTTGTAATTGCTAACATTTCCTGCAGGCCGTGTGAGGCCTCCATCTACCATTCATTTGATTATACATCAGCCCTGCAAAGTAGGTTACATTATCACCATCCCCTATTGTATAGATGAAAAAAACCCCCAGGTTCAGAGTGACTAATGTTTGGTGAATCCCCTGGGGATCTTGTTAAAATGCAACCCGACTCAGTAGGCCTGGCATGGGTGGGGCCTGCGATGCTGCTACTGACCTGCTCCCAGCCCCTGCCCGTGCTGCTGGTCCTCAGAGTTCAGTGGAGGAGGGAGGGGTTGACTCATGGACCTAAGGTTAGAGCTGGGGAGAGTGGAGGCTGGGATTTGAACTCAGACCCTTATGCAGTGCAGCCTCTCATGCTTATTTCAGAAGTGGATCGTGACAGTTTCTTCAGTTCTTTGGTGGGCAGTGGCCTGGTGCTCTCAGTGGCCTGGTGCTGTCCGTTCTAACTGTGTCTTGCCCAGCAAAGAATGTTAAGTATTACCGTATCAGCACTGTCGTAACAGCCGTAATTTATGGAGTCTGCTGGGACCAGGATTACTTCTGGGCTTCACGTGAGTGTTCTCTGATCCTTACAACACTTTTAATGTGTGTGTGTGGGGGAGTCTATTATTGTTCCCACTTTGCAGATGAGGAAATGGAGTAACTTGGCAGGTCCCACTGACCACCTAGCAGTGCTAAGCCCAGGGGTAGCCCCAGGTTCTCCTGGCTCCTAGACGTCTGATCTGTTCAGTCTGCCTTATTTCCTCTTAGACACTGCACATGACCGTCAGGCCGTCGCTTACCTTGTCATGACCATCAGCGGCCTTTCCCCGGTGTTAATCATCAGCACGCTGGTACTTTTTTATTGGGTGATCTCACAGTGACTATTCATGTGATTTGGGGTGAATCCATTTTTTTCAAATGGTAAAATACACGTACCGTGAAGTTTGCCATTCTTTGCTGTATGGTTCAGTGGCGTTAAGCACACTCACAGTGTTGTGCAACCATCGCCGGAACGGTTGTGCCTTCCCCCACTGAAACCCTGTACCACCCATTCAAACCAATTCCCCACTCCTTTCCCCACCCCCAGCCCCTGGAAACCATCATTTTACCGGGATCTGACGGCTTTGTGTACCGCGTATAGATGGAATTATGTCATTGTCCTGCTGGGCCTGGCTTGTTTCCCCTAGCACGGCGCCTTCAAGTTTCAGCCACGTTGTCCTCAGATTGATTCTTCTGAAGTGTCAATAATCATTTCCTAGTTTACCTTTCTCACACTCGTTTTCACGAGCAGGACACTTCT